ATAATATCACAAATCGAGCTTTTTGGAGACACAATTAATAGATTTTTGTCCCTTTGCTATGACTGAAATTGTTGCTAATTGCTCTGTTGTATTGTTCACACTAAATACTCCAGCGATGTGTTTAGAAAAAAAGGATGTGTTTTAAAAAAGGAAGGGTTGATTGTGAACACTGACACAAGTGGGACAGGTTGATCGTGTTATGTTGCTCGATATTGTCCCGCCGTTTATAATCATATTTCTTCGCCCAGCTGGTCTTGGACTGAGAGATCGTTAACCTAGAATTACAAGGTTCTATCTGTGGGTGGTTGGCGGGTGCTCTGGTGTGGTTTGCTCCTTCTTTCCTATCAAACATCTATTGTCATTATCTCTCCTCCTTCTTTTTATGTTTGTTTCTCTCTTGTAACACCTCTAATCTTCTGGCGCTCATATGACCTTATGCCGTTGCGAGCGCTGTAAAATCTTCTACTAAAAAAAAAAAAGGTTCTATCTGCTCAGCTCCCAAGTTTTGAAAAATTTAACCGTAAAATCTTTTTGAGTTTTCAGTTGTCCAGTTTTTTAAAATGCAATTCTTTGAATATCTTGATTACGACTCCGAATAATCTTGCGTTTTAGTAGAGCCGATAGAACATAATATTTGGTGTCTGACCTCATGACGGTCTTATTATATCAAAACGGCCAAACATGTCAGATGTGGGTGGTTGGCGGGTGCTCTGGTGTGGTTTGCTCCTTCTTTTTTTATCAACAATCTATCGTCTTTATCTCCCCTCCTACATTTTTATGTTTGTTTCTCCCTTTGTAACACCTCTAATCTTCTGGCACTTATATGACCTTATGCAGTTGAAAGCGCCGTAAAACCTCTACTAAAGCAAACATGTCAGATAGAACCTTGTAATTCTAAGGTAGCTATAATATACCGCAGTTGAATCACATTACTTCCCCCGACCCGGACTTGGTCGGAGAAATGTAAATGGACCTCTGGCTCGCCAGCTAGGGCCGCAACTCCCCTCAGCTGTTTACGCCACACAACCTCTGGCTTAAGGGTCGGATAATCGTTGTTATCCCTCTATCCATGATTAGTACCCTGTCTCTCTGTCTCTTCCCTGGGCTGTCGTTCTGAGGACCGGGGCAGGGTCCGGGAAAGAGTAGACATCCGAAACGTGGGTGGCTGGCGGGTGCTCTGCTGTAGTTTGCTTCTTCTTTCCTATCAAGCATCCATCGTCCGTATTATCTGTCTGGGCTACTCTGCTGTAACACCTCTAGTCGCCGGCACCTACATGGCCTATTTGTGTTGTGTTGCTAGTGCCGTAAAACTCTTAATAACTGTAAACGAAAACAAATATTTCTGTCGATCTGAGGATCAATTTAAGGCATGAGAGGTCCAGTAAAGACAGACATCCAAAGCACCACCAGGAGGGTGGTTGGCGGGTGCTCTGGTGTGCCTTGCTTCTTCTTGCAAACATCTAACGTCCTTATCTTCCCTTTTTCTTTTTTATGTTTGTTACTCTCTAGTAACACCTCTAATCTTCTGTCGCTCATATGATCTTATACAGTTGCGAGCGCCGTAAAACCTCTACTAAAACTAAAACACCACCAAGAGCTAGCACTACTCCGAAATGCAAATAAATAACTGATTTACCGCTTGTGGAGCGTTACATTTTTACGAAAACGAACTCTATTCGCCCCCCCCCCCCAACCAAACAGAACAAATACAAAAAAACCCCCAAAAAGTCCAAAAGAAGCAAACAACCCCCTTCCAAAACAAAGAAACAAAAACAAACAACAACAAAACCCACCCTTCCCGAAAAAAACAACAACCACAAACAAGCAAACAAGTTTTAATGACACGTAAACAAAAACAGGTTGAGGAGATGAAAAAGTCTGTAACTGTAAACGAAAGAGATGAAGAGACCGCCTTCCGATGAATGCAAAAGTGACCAATGATTTGTGTCCTGTAAAGGGGTTGCGTTCTACAAAAGTGAAAGGGGAGGAGGCATGTCGAGAGGGATGGGGAAGTTTGAGAAAGTTTCCGTGGGGAAGGGGTTAACTTTGTTCTGCGTTTACCTGCTGTCTGATGAGGCGGTGTCGGGTAGGGCTGGGCAATGAGTCGCTTTAGCAAAATGCGGATAATACGATGCTAGTGCATATCTTCGGCAAATGATACGATATGAACCGCTCGGGCAAATGAGTTAAAACCACTTCGACAAACGGGTAAAAACCACTTCGACAAACGGGCTAGCCTCACTTCAGCAAATTATAGGAACACCCACTTCGACAAACGGGTTAGCCTCACTTCAGCAAATTATAGGAACACCCACTTCGACAAACGGGCTAGCCTCACTTCAGCAAATTATAGGAACACCCACTTCGACAAACGGG